CCAGAATAAGAGAAGCCAATCTGACTTGTATCTTCAACTTGGCGTTGGGGAGGGGGGGTGCTAATAATACGCGCACATGAGGAGCAAGGACACGGATACAGAAGAGCACTAGTGAAGGCTATTTCCCCCCTGGAAGGTCACTTGGGAGCTGCATGGCTAAGAGGGGGGGGGCAGCAAGCCATTCGAGGAGTCAGAAGTAGCGTGTGTAAAGGTGTGAATCGAGGAAGCTTGTGATACAGGGGTCTTTCTGTTTGCTTGGAGCAAAGGACACTGAGGAAAGTAAGTGGATCTGAGCCTGCCTGGTGGAGACAGCTGGGTTCTAAGTGCATCTGAATATGCAGCTAAGCACTGGAGGCTTCGTCCGGTGGGCAATGGGGACCGTGTTGCCATCAGTAGTAATATCGTCAAGATAGAACAGCTGCATACTCCAACAGCCTCTTCACAATATGTGATGTGGTGTTGTGTGGAGGAGGCTGGAGCCCAAAATACAGTGCGGGAGGTGGGAGGAGGTGGGAGATGGAACACAGAAAGGCTCTGCTCGGGAAATGTATGAAAATACAAGAATAAAAAGAAAGGCAATATCTGACGGGTAATTTAATTTACATTTTCCCTTTAGACGTGTTTGCCAGCCTCTGTCTAGCAGCAGAGAGTCGGGTAACATGGCAGGTATTGCCGAGCAGGAGGAAGGAAGTGAGGTTGTTTCTGAAGGAACTGAAGGTGTCGCCGAGTTCTGGGGAGGCTAAGGGGAGCTGCAGCTGCAGGGAAAAGCCGGGTGATTCTCTTGTGTTTGCTCTACATTGGAGCCTGCCCCCATGAAGTGTTTAGAGCCAACTGGGAAGAAAACCAACAAGGGTAGAGAGCTTCAGAGGGAGCCATTTAACCCACTAAGAGAGGTACCAGGTCCTCCTCCTTCTGACTAGTACACAGAGCTTAGCGTCCCTCCCAAAGAGGAGGCAAGGGACCTGATTTCTTCCAAGGGAAAGGAATGCTTTTAGGTGGAGAAACCTTTCCAGCACAGTGCGAAGTCATGTTGCTAACTGTATCCTAATGTGATGTACGGAGGATGGAAGTTTACCCCTGTGGTCCTCCTTCCCGGATCCTATGCCTTAAAATAATCACGGTGGAGGCAACAGAGAAACCTCAATGGCAAGACATTCCACGTAACTACGTAACTAGTACATACGTAACTAGTACATTCCAACACTGTCCAAGTCATCACAGATAAGGACATCTGAAGAAAGTCAGAGCCAAGAGGAGCCTCGGGAGATATGTAATACAGCATGTCATCAGGATTCCTGGGTGGGATCCTTTAGGGGAAAATGATGGAAGTCTTAACTATGTACTTCAGCTAATGATACTGCATAATTGTCCTTGTTAAGAAGTCCACCACAGTATTAGGAGACATTAATAATAAATATGCCTGGTGTGAGGCATATGGAACTCACTCTGCTATTTTAATAACTTTTCTGCAACTCTAAAACTATTCTAAAATAAGCTTATTGAAATTTTAAACAAAAAAGTGAATTGTTTATTCGTCACTTGAAGCAAAGCAATAGCGTGAAAAATAATTAGAAGAACGGGCACCCCAGAACACAGAGGTGCGGTGTTTAAACAGTCAGCACTTGGGTGTTTAAAAAGTCAGCGCTCCAGTCAATACCCTGAGAGGGAATTTAAGCTACTGTACCCACCAAATAAGAACAGTATGCGCTTAAAAGAGAACAGTCAAGGACTGGGAGATGGCTCAGTCAGTGATGTACTTGCTGTGCAAGCATGAGAACCAGAATTTGGATCCCCAGGACCCACATCAATGTGGGGCAGGCATGGTGGTCCGCCTGTAAACCAGACACGTACTTATGTACCCGTATGCATGTGCACATTATCACACACACACACACACACAGGCACATGCAAAAAAAAAAGCAGGAGGATACAGTCATACAGTCTGAGGATCAAAAACTGTTCTTCACTACTAAGGCAAAGACAGATGCACGCAAGGACGGATAAGCACAGATCAGTTCAGACGGTCACTTAACTAATAGGACACGTTCAGAAAAGAAATACACCCTTAGCTGGGTGTGGCAGTGCATTCTATGATCCCACCACATGGAAAGTATGGGCACTAAGATCTGGAGAATCCAAGGCTAGCCTGAACAACACAGTGATGTCAAGGCTAGCCTGGCCACCATTGTATGATCCGCCTCGAAAACAAAAACGGAGAAACAAAACTGTCTCAAAAGAGGTGGATGTGTAGCTCTGTGGTAGAGAGCTTGCCTAGTATGCTCAAGACCCTGGATTTGATCCCCACCCAGCACTTAAACAAATGTTATCTTAGCAAATAACTGCCCTGCAGGGAATGTGTTTACACAGCCACAATAATAAAACAGATTAACTTTCAACTTTCGTACCTATCTCTAGACAGCACTTGCAATATTATTTTGCAGCATAGAGAGAGGTAATAAACTATGGAAAATGGAGCAGAAGTTCTTCCAATCGAATTTGGAAGGTCGGAAGCGGAAGGGGAGACTGTGAAAGGTGGGACGATACAGCACATATCTATATAATGAGCAGTGATTGAGGGGATGCGAATGAAGTAAGAGACCATCTGAAATGTACGCTCAAAAGCAAACAGATCTGGGATGTGGCCCCACTGCCAGAGTACTTACCTAGCACGCGTGAAGCCCTGGGCTGGATAGCCATCACCGTGTAAACTGGGCCTGGTGGTGAACACTTATATTCCCAGCACCTGGGAGGTGGAGGCAAGAGGAACAGGTCACTTGGTTACATAATGAGTTCAAGGCTAGTCTGAACTACATGAAACTCTGTCTACAAATCCCAAAACAGACAGATGACAGACAGAAGGCTAGTAAAGAACCAATAGTAAAATAAAAATTTTAACGTTGGAAGAAGAGGCCATGGGATTTAAGTGACCCCAGATTCTCATTTTGTAATGGGATGCCTTCAGACACTACACCAGTGAAAATGATGACAAACACCTAGGGATTCTGAGCCCTGCCAATAAAGATGTCTGTTAGGAGGTGGGGGTGGGGGTGCATAGGATGGGGTATATGATGATGGCCAGTGGAGAGTTTGGGCTGGACTCTGGTGCACTGGCAAACGATAGAACTTACTACAAATGACTCACACAGAGAGGGGGCAGACCAATAAGTTCTACTCCTGAACTGGAGCAGCTGATGCCCGATCAAAGGTGAACTCATAAACAAAGCAAGGTAGAAAAAAGGCATTGAGTGGAGCCTCTGCCTCTCAGGACCTAGGCTGGAGCCCTGGGCTTCCCAAGGTCGGCTGTGTCTGCTTCCTCTCTGCACAGCACCCATCTCCCACCTCACATGGGCCTGGGAGGATGGGGCACAGTCAGACCTCCCTGTCTGTGCAAGACCCCTCCAGAGACACCCATCCAGAGCATGTTTATCTGGGCTCCCATGCTCCACCTGGTCCTCCTGTACCTCATCACAAGACTAAACACTGTCACCCACCTTCTCCATGCCCTCTTCCCTCTGGCATAGGTGTCTTGTTCTGCTTGGTTTCGTTCCCTCACATACCTGCCTGTTCTGCCTCTCCTTTCTCCTCCCATTTCTAAATGTTCATATCCTCTGAGCATCTACCCTTGAGTGGACATTGGGTCTCATTTGAACTGTACTCCCCAGTGGCTGTGACCACATGGCCATGAAGGAAGAGACGTTTCCCCCCAGGCAGATAACAGATCAAGTTCTGTTTTTGTATGGAGTATCTCTGGCATGGCAGCATCTTGAAAAGCCCAGGGTTCCAGGACAGGCCCTGCGATCCGGATCCTCTTCTCTACTGTCTTCTAAAAATCACATCTGGAGGTGGAAAGATGGGGAGGGAAGACAAAACCATGTATGTCATCTGGGAACCAGTGCATTTTGCTGGCATCTGAGTGACACAAAAATCTCAGTGGATGGTGAATCTGTTTTTTTACTCACCGCCCCCCACCACCATTTTTCAGCATATTTTTGTGTAGGCGTGTTTGTATGTATACATGTACATGTGCATATATGTGGAGGACAGAGGCTGATATTGGTATCTTCTCAGTCATGCTCTATCTTATTTATTTATTTATTTATTTATTTATTTATTTATTTATTTATTTATTTATTTATTTATTTATTTATTTTTTGAGACAGAGCCTCTCTTTGAACCTGGGTTCCACCAATTTGTCTAGCCTTGCTGGCTGACACTCCAGGGATCTTTCTGTCTCCGCTTCCCTAATATTGGGATTACAGTCAGGCACCACCTTGTGTTGGCTTTTTACCTGTGTGCCGGGGATCTGAATTCAGGTCCTCATACTTGTGTGACACTTTACCAATTGAGCTGTCTCCTCTGCCCTGTGTTATTATTCTCAAGGTCCTCTATACTTGTTAAAACAAAAGCTTGACTTCTCAGGTGACTGAGGACAGAACTTTCTGAATATTTTATGGTCATGTGGCCAACTGCCTTTAAGGAAACTAATTCAGATGTGGCCAGTCTAATTTCCAAGGGTTGCTATGACAACCAGGTACATGCTAGATGGTGTATAACCAACAGAGAAGTCATAAATGAAGGGTTCAGTTCAGATAAGATCAAATGTACACTCAAGGATAGATGCTTGGAGAATATGTACACTTAGAAATGGTAGCAGAAGGAAGAGATGGAGCAGGGACCTGCTCCCTATCATGGTTCTAGGAAAGGATCTGCCAGGCTTCTCCCCAGCCGGCTTGGTTTTCATCCAAATTTCTACCTTCATCCTGAGTAACCATTTCCTGGTTTGTGTCTGTGCCCAAGTTTCTGGCTTTCATGAGGACCTCATCGGCATGGGATTGGGGACCATCCAACTCTATAATGGGCTCACTCTTATATTAACATCCACAGTGGCTGACTCCAGATCAGGCCAGGTTCTGGGCTCCTGGGGCCTGTGGCTTCTATCTGTGAATTTGGAGGGTGAGAGTTCAACCCGTAACTAACTTGGCGTCTCCCTCTGGCCTCAGCAGCGCCACGACAAGTGGAGGCGAGAATGAGCACGAGGAACTGGAGCCGGAATGGAAGCCCCCGGACGAGGAGCTCATCAGGAAGTTGGTCGATCAGATTGAGTTCTACTTTTCGGATGAGAACCTAGAGAAGGATGCCTTCCTGCTCAAGCACGTGCGAAGGAACAAGCTGGGCTACGTGAGCGTCAAGCTGCTCACCTCCTTCAAAAAGGTGAGGCCGGCTTCTCAGAGGCTGCTCAAGGCATTCGTGTCCGGGGTGTGGACCTTTGTGGTGTTAAACATTCTGTTGTTGTTTTGTTTGGCACCCCACCCCTCAGCCACAGGCCCTCCTGCCCAGCAAATTTTTAAATAAATATGACACCTGAAAAAGGGAAAAATTATCAAGAGAAGGGATTTAGTGGCACTCAGAACTAACTCAGTCAATGAAGTGTTTACCGTACAAGCAGGAGAACCTGAATTTGATCCCCAGAAGCTACATGCAAAAAAACAAGCTTGGTTCCATGCTTGTACTTCCGGAGCTGGGGAGGTAGGAAAAGATCTGTGGGGCTAAGGGAGAAGCCATCTTAGCCTACTGGGTGAGCTCTATGCCAGTGAGAGGCCCTGTCTTGACTATAAATGAATAAATAGCAAAGTGTATAGATCCTGAGAAGAATGACACCCAAAATTGACATCTGGTTCCCTATATGCATGCGCGCGCACACGCACACACACACACACACACACACACACACACACACACACACACAAGGGTTATGAGAGCATTCTTGAGAATATATTTGCCTGCTGTGTAAAGGGTTCTGAGTGCTAGGACAGATCTCAGCTGGTGGTGATTAAGAAATGCTGTGACTTGTCCTCAGGAAAGTTTGGGTCATCTTGCCTGGCACATGGATGCCCAGAGGGTGCTACACCAGAACAGAGGGTCCTGGAGACCTTGAGAGATGATGCCTGCCAGTCTAGAATTGCCTGACACCCAGTCAAGCCTTCCACTTGATAAGCTGAGTCAGTATGGGATGGGAGAGAACACACAGAACTCAGGGAGAAAATCCTGCTCCGGGACTCCAGCATGATCTGCTCTCTGGGATACCAAAGGGAACTCTAAGGGAACTCTGTGTCCCAGAGTGATCGATGCTGAGGGGGCACTGGCAGCCAAGCAGGAGACTGCCTGTCCCTGCTGTGGACAGATGCAGAACTGGGGCCCTAAACGTGCTGCTCTCCGAGGATTGACTAACCAGTTGGAATAATAACTCTGTATCTCCCTGGAGGGCGTGTATTTACTAGAATGGAAAAAGCACCGTTCAGCTTGTTGCATAATGGCTTATGTAAGGAGTGGGTCCACATAAGAAGTGGGTCCTGGCCAAGATGTCGGCACACTCTATCCGAGAGTGATGGGAAAAGCTCTGTGCCTTGGAGCTCGTCTCTGCCCGGCTCCCTAGTATGCTCTGCCTTCTTCTTGGACTCTTTTTCTTTTATTCATTCATCAAACAATGTTCTTTGTATTTGATGAGTGTTGTGTTAAGCGCACGAGGTACTAAGTGAATATGGCATCCCGTCTTTCCTCGAAGCACTTATAGTCCAACGAAAGATAAGAGGTCCACGAAATGCTTCAGGGTAACCACAGACAAACTGATGGAAGACATAAAGGCATTTGGGGACTGGCTGATCAGAGCAATGGACCCTGTCTAGAGAACCGAGACGTCTTCTTGGAGTGGTGGCGTTGGGATGCGGTCTTGGAGGATGAGTAGGAATTGCAAAGTCCAGATGGGAAGGCATGCTTCATGTTCAGAGAACAAGTTCTGACATGAAAAATACTTCCAGGGTTGGGGACCCCTAAATGGAAAAGCCCCCCCCGATGTGCTCCCCAAGGGCTTCAAGAGCCACCCTGGCTTTCTCCCCTGTCCTAGCTGCCACTTACAGACCCACTCAGGAGCATCCTCTCTTTAAAATGAGCTGCAAGGTGGACACACTTGCATTCACACTCCCAAATTCCCATCCCCTAATTCACACCCCCAAACTCAGAGCAGAGACTCTTTTCCTTCTCGAGGATTTCCTGCTAATGGCAATGTGATACATCCAAGAGGAAGGCGCCAAACGCAGGGAGCGTACAAAGCATGAGTGCCCCTTCTCGTCACTGTGACGAACACCTGACAACCACGGCAGAAGGCTTTGGGTCACGGCTGAAGGTGCACCCCGTCAGGTCAAGGAAGGCATGGCAGCAGGCGTGTGAGGCAGCTGGTCACGTGGGACATACAGTCAGGAATCAGGGAGAAGTGCGGCTGCTCGTCTTGTTTTCTCTTTTTCGTTCAGTCAGGGATCCTGGGCCTGAGATGGTACTACCCACGTTTAGGGCTCATCTTCCCTGACAGTTAAATCTTTACGGAAGCATCCTCACAGATACATCCGGAGGTTTGTTTCCATAGACATTCTCAACCCAGTCAGGTTGACAATGATGGTCCATCATCACACAGAGTTTCTGACAAACTTACAAAGTTCTAGAGGTTGCACATGGCCAAACTTCTTTCTTAAAGGAAAACATTTATTTTATTTTATGTGTGTATGTGTGTGTGTTAGAGTATGTATGTATATATACCATGCGTATGCAGTACCCTCAGAGTCCAGAAGAGGGCATCAGATCCTCTGCAACTGGAGTTATAGACTGTTGGGAGCCATCATGTGGGTGCTGGGGATTGAATTCAAGTCCTCTACAAAAGCAGCCAGTGCGTTTCACCACTGAGTCATCTCTCCAGCCCCCAGTTCCTTTTCTGATGTGATATTGGAAACCGTCGTAAAGTACCACAGACACAGACCTGAGATGCCCATAGATAACCAAGGTTTCCCAGAGGACCTGGCTCTCGCCTCTGTGTGTTCCCTAGTCTTCTACAGCGCTCCTCTCTGGAAGGACGTGGTCCTGCCCTAGTTCTCACCCTACCTCGTAAGGCAGCACATGCTTCTGTGCTCCGACTTCAAGCTTAGGGAGGATTTCTTCGCCTCTCCCGCATGCTCCCTTCCCAGCTGTTTTCACAGCTGGCTCCATCATCCCAGGCCTTGGCTTTCCTACAACCTTGCAGTGACCTTCATCTATCTCACTCTCTTCTGGATTCCCGATTGACTGACTTGTTCACTAGAAATCCAACCGTAGTCTCAGGTCTGCTTCTCTGTGGCATGCTGATCCCCCCCAAGGTCTCTCTGTAGGTGACTTGGGGCTTTTTCGTGCTAATAATGAGAGAACACAGGCCAGAGTGGACAGTGCCCGCATTCCAGCAGTGTGTCAGTCAGGACTCAGGACTCTGTGGAGGTTGCCCTGCCCTGCCCAGGGAGTGAGCCTTCCTTTCTTGTTTTCTGTGCCTTTTCTGTTTGAAGCCCATGGGGAGTTCCTGATTCCTCTGCAGATCAGCCTCATGGGCCAGGCCTCAGAGGACTCTGGGTAATTTCCCCATCCAGGCTCAGGTTACCCACCCCACCCACATCCACCAGTTCTCGGGGATGACTCATCTCCCTGGCACATCCTTCACTGGAAGTGGGCCTCCACAAAATTGCCGTTTTATGAAATAAATATAGCTTTTCATATACTGCAGCATCAATACGCACAGTTTCCATCTTGGGAGGGACAGGGAAGAGTTGTTTCATCATTTTTCAAGAGGCCCAGTCAATGTGATTCCACTTGGTGTCTGTGCCTGTTACTCTTGGGGGAGATTACAGAGAAACAGGGAAGATCTTTTGGGGGCTTCTCTTTATCAACTGTAAATCACAGCTTCAGAGAATGCCAGACCCTCCAAATCCTTCCAAAGTAGCAGCCCATTCAGTGTGACGGCCTGCGATCCCAGCGTTTTGGAGGGGTCATGAGTTTGAGTCCAGCTTGAACTATCGAGTGAAACCCTGTCTCAAAGAAGAAGAAGAAAAATCTGGGCTGGGGCTATAGCTCATGGAAGCCTGCTTGCCTGACATTCTACATTCAGTCCCCAGTACTACCCAAAACTCACTTGTGACATATGTATTTGAAACAGTGATAGCATGTAGTTATTGAGTAGTCTTGGAGAGTGAACTGCTATTTTAAATTTTGTGTACAAATGTATTTCTCTCTATTTTTTCTGTTCATTTAACCTGTGTGTGTGTGTGTGTATGTGTGTATGTGTGTGTACTATGCAGCTCTAAAGAAAAAAATGTAATCAACATTTGCAGGAAAATGGATGGACTTAGAATATATGATATTCAATGAAGTCACACAATCTCGGAAAGGAAAAAGAGATGTCCTCTCTGATATGCAGAATCTAGCCAACAGCATATGCATGTATGTGAACAACTATGCATGTGAGTGCAGTATAGCATGTAGAAAAGGGAGAAAGAATATTAATTAGGATGAGGAAGGACTGAACGCAGGTGGTGGGCATGAGTTAAGAAAGAGGATCTAAAGCTGGTTATCTTTCTAGTTCTCTTTTGTGGATTTTTCATTTTGGGTAGTGGATAACTGCGTAAAACACATTTGATAGTGAAAGTGTAAAGCTCAGTGTGAAACCCCACAGCTTCAGAATGGCTGTTCTAACTGTTCAGTGAGATACGTAGACTTTGGGTCTGGTTAATTTCACCATATGATTTTTTTTTGAAAATTTTTATAATAAAGTTTATTACACATTTTTTAATGAAAGAAACCATTGAAGAAGTGGCTGGAGAAAGTTTTCCTTTACTCATTCTCCGACTGGTTGGTATTTGAGTGTCTCCCCCACTGGGTATGACTCAAGTCATTGGTGCTGCAGAGGTGAGGGGGGTCGGGAGGGGGATACAGAATGTACAAGTGTGGAGAGGAGAGGAGGTACCACTCAGACCTGCTTTGTGTTCTTTAGGTGAAACAACTCACACGGGACTGGAGGACCACAGCACATGCCCTGAAGTATTCGGTCACGCTGGAGTTGAATGAGGACCACCGGAAGGTCAGGAGGACCACCCCTGTGCCACTGTTCCCCAATGAGAACCTCCCCAGCAAGATGCTGCTGGTATATGACCTACACCTGTCTACTAAGCTATGGGCCCCGGCCACGCCCCAAAAGAATGGAAGGGTGCAGGAGAAGGTGATGGAGCATCTGCTCAAGCTCTTTGGGACTTTTGGAGTCATCTCATCGGTGCGGATTCTCAAACCTGGGAGAGAGCTGCCCCCCGACATCCGGAGGATCAGCAGCCGCTACAGCCAGGTGGGGACCCAAGAGTGTGCCATCGTGGAGTTCGAGGAGGTAGATGCAGCCATTAAAGCCCACGAATTCATGGTCACTGAATCTCAAGGCAGGGACAACATGAAAGCGGTCTTGATTGGGATGAAGCCACCCAAAAAGAAACCCCTCAAAGATAAGAACCATGATGACGAGTCCACAGCAAGTACCCACCTGAGCAGGTCCCTGAACAAGAGAGTGGAGGAGCTGCAGTACATGGGGGATGAGTCTTCTGCCAACAGTTCCTCTGACCCTGAGAGCAATCCCACCTCTCCCATGGCTGGCCGCCGGCATATGGCCACCAACAAGCTCAGCCCTTCCGGTCACCAGAATATCTTTCTGAGCCCAAATGCCTCCCCGTGCTCAAGCCCTTGGAGCAGCCCCCTGGCCCAGCGCAAGGGCGTCTCCAGAAAATCCCCACTGGCTGAAGAAGGGAGACTGAACTTTAGCACCAGCCCCGAGATCTTCCGGAAGTGCATGGATTATTCCTCGGACAGCAGCGTCACTCCCTCGGGCAGCCCCTGGGTTCGCAGGCGACGCCAAGCTGAGATGGGGACACAGGAGAAAAGTCCAGGGGCAAGTCCCCTGCTGTCTCGGAAGATGCAGACCGCAGATGGGTTGCCTGTAGGGGTGCTGAGGCTGCCCAGAGGCCCCGACAACACCAGGGGCTTCCATGGTGGACACGAGCGAAGCCGAGCCTGTACATAATACCTTCTATTTTTCATACTGGCTCCACTGAAAACAAACTTTGTTTTCGAGGTCCTCACCAATAGCTAGCATGACAGAGAATGGAATTCAGTCCCCTTAGAAAGCTTTTGTATCCACGTAGACCTCTTAATTTATATATTTGTAAGGTATACACACTGTCCCGTGTGCCATGGTTTTAAGACCATCTTGTGGCTGGGAGGTCTTGCTCCCAGCATGGCCACTGTTTTGACAATGCCTGGAGTGTGTGAGTGTAATGTCTCTGAAGGGCTGTGGGACACAGGCTCTCTGGGGAGATCTAGCAGCGAGTCTGTCTGTCTCAACTGGCTTTTTTTCCTGCAATGACTGAGCTGTCCTTGGCAGGTGGTTCCTCCTGAGGCCTCAAAGGAGTTTTGCTCAGTGGCAAATCCTTCAGCCAATAGCATGGTGTCTTATAGGACTGAGCGTCTATTCCCTGTCAAGTGAATAAATAATAAAACACCCACTGGGAGTCCCTTATCTGAGGTCACAGACCATACCCCTTAGACAAGGAACCCAACAAGAATATATTTTCTCTGTCTATCCCATAGTGTACTCCCAGGGCAGTCCTGGACTCTCCTGGAGGTTTCTGGCAGTCTGGGATGTCTGTCGTCACAATGAGTCTCACAGGATAGGCAGCTTTAGTTTCTGCTGATGTCCCCACAGCATCCCAGACCATCAGTCTTGACATCACCTGAGAACTTGCTAGAAACACACATTTCTAGGTCCCATCTCAGGCCAAGTGATTGAGAAACTGTCAGAGGAGGGATTATAGGTATGTTTTTAAAGATTTGTTCTTATCTTTATTTACACGTATGTGCCTGTGTGAGTGTATGCCATATGTGTGCCCATAGAAGCCAGAATGAGGCATCAGATCCACTGAAGTTGGGGTTATGGGTGTGAGCTGGGAACTCCACTTGGATCCTCGAGAAGAGCAGCAAGTGCTCTTACCCTGAGCATCTCTCCAGGCCCTGAATCTGGAGTTTGAAAGCCCTGCAGATGATTCTGATGTGTGCTAGTGTGAGAATCCTTGAGGTAACCAAAGCTGCAGGACCCCATGTCAGCCAGTCTGAACCCACGTCTCTCACTCCTGTTCTGTGACTTGGGGGTAGAATTAAGCTCCCTGAGCCTTCTGGTGTCCTGGGGCATGCTTTGCTGCATGGTAGTGTGAAATGTAGTCAGTCCTCCATAATCGTTGGCTCTATTTCCTCCTCATCTGGCTTATTGTCTGTTACCTTCAAAAGCCGTTTTGGATTACCACACCCTGGCCTAGAGTCCAATGTTGGCTTATTCGTGGGCTGTTCGGGGGTGATTTAGGACCTGTTAAGAGTCAAGCAGTGATTGTTTGCCAAGAACTTTGATAAAAAGCTTTCCCATGATTTATTTCATGTAAATCATCCCAACACCATGTGAAAAAAATATTCAGGTATTGGAGCTACTTTATACCAGGTTTAAAGAAGAAAAATAAGGCCTCATGTGGGTAACTAACCTATATCTGGGTTGATGGTTCTGGGGTTCACTTTGTTGATGCTGCTGGTAGTGATTGTGGTGGTATTTCCTGAGAGTCTTACCATGTAACATTGGCTGACCTCAAACTTCCAATCCTTTAGGCTCAGTATAAGGAGGCTACATATGCACCATCACCCCAATCTAGCATTAATACCAAGCTATATTAATATTATTAATATAATATATTAATAATAGCATTAATGGTTTTTTGTTTATTATTATTATTATGTTATTGTGTGTGAGAGAATGAGAGAGAGAGAGAGAGAGAGAGAGAGAGAGAGAGAGAGAGAGAGAGAGAGAGGTATTTGCACATTTAGGTCAAGCCATAGAGCATGTGTGTGTGTGTGTGCGCGCGCAGAGGTCATAAGAGTTACAGGTGCAGGCTGAGGAGCCAGTCCTCTCCTTCCTCCGGTGAGTCCCAGGGGTCAAACCGGGTCATCAGGCGTGCAGCACAAGCATTTTTACTCTCTGGGACATTTTGCTGGCCCCACTAAACGGTTTTGACATTGCTGAGCCTTGCCATCCCCAGTCACATGACTCAGTCACATGTGCTACTGTGAGTTCGGCGGCTCCCTTGTCCTCAGCATCTCCATAAGCAGTTACACTGGTAAGTCTATACATGAAGTGGCAGAGGTAGGAAAATGATGATGCTCAGCTTGAACAGTTGTGGAAATGGAAAAAGACAAGTTTGGGGTGTTTCTGTTTTGAAACAAACCGGCCTCAAAATCACCATGTAGCAAGAATCACGACTTTGAATTTATGATCCTTTTTCTTCCATCTACACAATACTAGGATTTACAGGTACACACTACCATTATGTGTAGCTTTATGCACTGTGTGAGGATCAAACTCAGGACCTTGTGCATTCTAGGTAAGCACTCTGGCCAACTGAGCTCCATTCCCAACCCCAGCAGTGTATTTTAAATTATACAGGTATATCCAAATTAGCAGATGACTACCTGGTTGGGAAGGTGGTTTGTAGCTGTACTTTTTCATTGGGACCACCAACCCACAAATAATGACATGGAGGCTTATTATTAATTATGAAGGTTTGGCCTTTAGCTTAGGATAGTCTCTAACTAGTTTTTATATCTCAAATTAACCTGTTTCTATTAATCTACATTTTGTCATGTGGCTCAGTTACCTCTGCTCTGTACCATATGTCCAACTTCTTCTGAGTCTCCTGGTGAATCTCTGCCTTGTTGTTGGTTTTGCTCTTTTTTTAAGGAGGTCTGCCACCCAGCTCCCAAATAAACCACACACAGAGGTTTATTCTTGTTTATGAACGTTCGGCCTTAACTTGTTTCATGCCAGCTTTCCTTAACTTAACCTATCCTGTCTACCTCTTACCTATGGTCTTTTCCCGTTCTCTTACTTCTGTAAATCTTACTCTTACACCATGGCTTGCTGTGTAGCTGGGTGGCTGGCCCTTGGAGTCCTCCTCTTTCTCTGGCTGCTCTTTTGTTGCCCAGAGTTCTCCTTCTATATATTCTCTCTGCCTGCCAGCCCTGCCCATTCCTTCTCCTGCCTCACTATTAGCCATTCATTTCTTTATTAGACCATCAGCTGTTTTACACAGGCAAAGTAACACAACTTCACAGTGCAACACAAACAAAAGTTACACACCTTAAAATAATATTCTACAACATTTCCCCCTTTTGTCTAAATAAAATGAAAGGTTTTAACTTAACATAGTATAACTACATACAGCAAAAACAGTTATCAAGTAAGAATTACATTTACAATATTCTGTTCATTTGTAGTCCAAAGAAAATAATGCATTATCTATCCTATCTTAGTGAATCCAAAATTTTACACCTAACTTACTTTCTATTATAACAAAGAAAAACTGCAACTATAACTATCCAGTCTTCAACTCCATCAAAGACCCAGAAGAGTATAATATTACCTAACAACAGAGGCAGTTGGCTGCCTGGACAGTCACCTAAAGCTCCTCTGCAGTGTTGGGGCATCCATCTTCAGCCTACAGGCCCAGAGTATCTGGCACTTTTCAGTAAAGCAGGAAATTTGAAGGACTGTCCTGCCTTCTATTGGCAAAATTCATCAGTCACTTTCCTCTGTGTCCTGCAAGAATGTCTGGCAGACTCTTCTGTGAAGCAGGAATTTTGAAGGACTGTTCTGCGTTGTTTTGGCAAAATTCAACAGTTCTTTTTCCTGTGTGCCCTGCATGTCCAGTCCGCACAGCACATTGTCAGCAGTCAAAGGCAAGAGCAGTTTCTTTGCCCAGTGGCTAACCTTGCCACAATGAAAGCAAACTCCATAAGGAGTTTCTTCAATACCCATCATCTTCTCTGAAGTAAATTATTGCTGCCAGAAGCAGAGGTGTCTCATTGTCATGAAAAACTTGAAGTTAACAAAACATTTTAAATGCCATATCCTGTAGGTCTTTGAAGTATTTGAAAACCATTTATCTATCTAAATATATCTCTATATGATCTGGAAAGCATACCTAACATATCTACAATTTTGATTGTTATAAATGACTAACCACTAACCTGTATTCCTGATTATCCTATATAGTTTATAATAATAGCTTTCAAAAACTAGAACTTCACCCTACATTTCCAAATGAACTGCATAGGCACAATACCTCAAACAAAAAAATAGAAACATACGTATGATATGTTGTAACAAAAATAACCTCAAATTTTTATCAATATACAAAAATCTCCCAAACAAGAGTAGAAACATATATACAGTGTAACAAAAATAACTTTAAATTTGTATCAATAGTCTATATTCCCCTAAATGATAACAAACATCCATAACCCACCAAATAACCAAAAGCCTCCCACACCCCTCTTGGGAATGTGGATGTACTGTTCTTCAAGCTACTTTTTGTTGTCTGTGGGTGAAGTATCTTTAGGGTTCCAGAGAGAAAATTTTGAGATAATGACCAAGTCCTGGGAAGACCAGCAGTAAAAGTAACCTTTGCTGATAGATATCACCTGTCAAGTTACAGGAGGTCTTGCCTGATCAAACCTGATCCAATCTGATCCATATTAGCCCTGAAGGAATCCACAGCCTCTCATCTCCTGTGGGAACAAAACTCCAAAGCATTTTTGATTTCCATTTGACAAATATATTTTTTGACTTTTTAAAAGTTAAGGCATTCCTAAAGTATATAGGCTGATTTATTTCAACAGTCCCTCTTTCAATTCCAGGTCTCTTTGCAGCTCTCCTTTGCTTTTCAACAATCAAAAAATTCAAAACCAATAATATACAGGATCCAGACTCCCTGTGTATTTCCCATCTTACGTGGCTTTTTTCTTTTATATTATTTTTACTCACTCTTTAAAGACATTATTATTATTATTTTTACTATTCATTTCTTTCTATGACTATACACTTTTTCTTTTCTTAAGCCTACACACATTGTTAAACACACTGGAACCTGGTAGGAAGTTTTTCCATCTGGACCTCTTTTATTGTGTATCTTCAGCCTTTAAACTGCTAACCTACACCTGGATCCTCTGCACAAGGCTCTCAGCTGGCTCCGCCCACTTCTTGGGTCATGGAAACCAAGTGTGAAACTCAGGGCTGGTCAGAGGTTGGTCTGACCAGGAACTGCATTCAACCTTTCTAGAGCTCTAGAATGCCTATGCTTGTGCAGTGGCAGGCATTTTTACTTAGTTTTTTGTTCCTGCTCAATGTACTGTCTGCTCAAGGGCTCAGTGACCAGCAGAAACTGTCCAGCAGAAACTCTTAAAGGAGCTGTATTTTTTTTTTTCAGGCTTTCTCAGGCACTATGGAAATTCAAGTGCCATGTTGGTATGGCAGAATGTTGGTGATGATTTTTCTCCTTTGAGGGGCCCTTCACCCAGCTCCCAAATAAATCACACATGGAGGGTTATTCTTAATTATGAATGCCTGGACTTAGCTTGGCTTGTTTCTTTCAAGCTTTCCTTAACTTAACCTATCCTGTCGACCTTTTAC